AAAAAAAAAAAAAAAAAAAAAAATAAGTGAGAAAAATAAAGAAAAAAAATATACAGTTGGAACAAATAATCAATGTATATGTCCAATTGAACATGATCAAACTCAACTTGCACTAGAAATGATCTTTTAGGTATTTGCGACATGTGTTTTATTTGAAACATTTAAAGAGAGGCGAAACTAGGATCTTTAGCTTCTAGATTCTGGACCACAATCATTTTTGCTTATTGGGTTCTAAGTAGATTATTTATACATATTAAATAATTTTTTTAACATAAAATATATTTTGACCTAAATTTTCATAACTATAATGATAGCTCCGCCCTGCATTTGAATACCAAGGCAAAAGGAAGAAGATGAAAAGCAAAAGGTAAAAAGTTCCTTTAATGCTAATTTTAATTGAAAGATGGTTTTTTTTGCTCAACATTTAAAATGATGGCTAAACTTTAAATACCATGCCAAAAACTGGCCTGCCACACTATTTCTACTGGACACCAAAAAGAAGCCAACTGCCCAAACCCAATGTAAACAAAATCTAAATTTTGATATTGAGTTAAAACCATAGTCAAAATGCTGCAATCTCACATTGGTCCATTTTCACTGCCATTTGTGAAACTGCAAAATGAAATGACAAGTCTGCCATTTTAACACCAGACTTATTTTTTTACTTTGAATAAATCTCACTATAACCCCTTACATACCAACCCGGTGATATAAAAACAACATACTTAATTTCAACCTAATATAAAAACGAAAAAGGGCAAAAACTGCCCCAAACTTATTCGCTGTGGTTTTAAAATAACCTCGTTCACCAATTTTGTTAAAACTGCCTTCACCGTTAAAAATATGGCCTCATTCATACTCTCGGAAGTAATGGCCCTATTTTGATTAAGAAATATTTTTATTACTTATTATATGTCAATTTTCTATTGGTTTAAATTAAAACCTCAGCCAACATCCACTGATTAAACCACCTCCATGACCCAAAACACTCATACCTGACCCATGCCTCCCCCCTTTTAAAATGCCCTAACTTCTCTTCTTCCATCCCTGCGAGTAACTCTCACTCAACATTTTCTCTAATCATCTTCCATGGCCAAAGTATAATAACTCACCATTGCTGATAGAGGACCGCCACCTTCGGCTTCAACTTTTAGATCTTCACCTTTCAACACCAATAGATCATTATCTCCCACTCAGATTTTTCGACCTTAGTTTTATTTTTAAATTAACATATTTTTGTAAAATCAATTTTCTGAGTGAAATCTGATATTTTTGGGATTAAAATAATGGTTCATTTTAAGACTTTAGAGCCTAATAAGTTGTCTTTTTGTCAAAGTTATATTTCTTGTGCCACCATGTAGTCTTTTGATGTTAATTGAAATCATGCGAGAAAATTATCTTCACAGTTCGTCGATGGTAATTAAGTTGGGGAAGATGAATAGGGAAAGAGATAAGATACCAAATAATTAAAAAAAATGAAATTTTGACAAATGAAACTTACATAACGATTAGATCATGAGTGGGGTGTGGAATCGGGTGTTTTGAGGGGTTAAAAGGGAGTTTAACGGGTCGGAACAATTAAAATGAGTCGTGGGTGGGTTATTTACGGATTATATTTGGGATGGAGTGGGATTTTAATCTTGACCAACAAGCAATTGCCATGTCAAATATAATAATTCCTTTTTATTTCTACAATGGTTCGTCAGAAATAAGGGCATGAATGGGCTTGATTTTTAACTGTAAGGGCAGTTTTAACAACATAGGTGGACGAGAGATATTTTTGAACAAAAGCGAATATGTTAGAGGCAATTTTGATCCTTTTCCGATATAAAAATAGGAATAACCATTATCCTAATGAATATAAAGTCCAACTTTATTGAGATTTTGATGGTTAAAATGAAATGAATGGTATGGGCAGAAAGACGAATTTCATGGATATTTGATTTTTTTTTTATTTCTTACTTTTGAGATAGTTAGTAGCATGCTTAGGCCGTCCACACTCGGCTAGGCAAACTTTAGGATGCTTTATTTATTTTTAAGGGAAAGGTTGTTCCCTCATATGCAGGGGAATGCCCCATAGAATTTGTATATATCTTATTCGGGGTATATCCCGTAGTGAATGTAATTAGAGGCCGTGACCGACATCATGGTGTAGACTGTTAGTATTTTCTTTTCCTTTTTCTTTTCTTTTATTTAGGTGGGGACAACCTCAAGCCTTTTGTGTGTTTATCTTGCTTCTATGTGCTTTCGCCTCAATTAGAATATTTTTTAAAGCCAACTAGATCATGTGCGCAATTGTGACTTTCACGGGACTCGGGGAATGTCTAACATCTTCTCCCCGAGTCAAATGAACCTCCTTACTTGAATCTCTGGTGCAAACTGGTTTAGAATCAAATATGTTTTAAAGGTAAATGGTGACTTGGCACACCGAGATTATATGTCAAGTGGCGACTCTGAAGATCCTTCAAAATATAATTTTGTCACTTTTCAATTTTGAAAACTCTTTTGAGCTTTAAAATCACTTTCTTTATTATTTTAAAGGGGTTAATGATAAGTAAAAAAGGTGTGTGATAGCCCTAGAGGCCAATCACACTTAGGACATTATTGCATTGCCTAGTGGGAAGAAACTTATAGGGTGTAAGTGGGTCTATAAGATTAAGTATAAGGTTGATGGCGTTGTTGAAAGGTATAAAGTTAGGCTTGTTATTGAGGGTGACACCTAGGTTGAGGGGGTGGACTTTAATGAAACTTTTTCCCTTGTTGTAAAGATGTTCGTTGTTAAGTATCTAGTGGTTATTGCAATTAAAAATGGTTAGCCTTTGTTTAAATTAGATGTTAACAATGCCTTTTTACATGGTGGTTTGGATGAAAAAGTCTATATGAAGCTTCCTCCTGGTCTTTCTGTCATTACTGCCTCTTCTTCTTCTTCTTCTTCTTCTTCTTCTTCTTCTTCTTCTTCTTCTTCTTCTTCTACGTTGGTTTGTCGTTTACAAACGTCCCTCTATAGCTTGAGACAAGCCTCAAGGCAATGGTATGCTAAGCTTTATCAAGCCCTTTACTCTAGAGGTTATACTCATTCCCTTAATGATTACTCCCTGTTCATCAAGGGTTCTCCTGGTCATATGGTTATCCTTGTTGTCTATGTTGATGATATAATATTAACTAGGATGATCTTGCTGAAATCACTGCTTTGAAGACACTTCTGAATGCCCAGTTCAAAATCAAATATCTGGGCACTCTTCATTATTTTTTGGGGATTGAGGTTTCATCTTTACCTGGTGGTGTGCTCCTCAATCAGAAGAAATTTGTATTTGATCTTTTGCGGGAATTTAATTGTTTAGAGGTTGCTTCTGTTGTTTCCTTTGGAATTAAACTCCAAACTGAAGGCTGATTGTGGTGATCTGTTGGCTCAACCTGAGAGATATAGGAGTCTAGTTGGGAAGTTGTTATTCCTCACCAACACTAGGCCTGATATTTATTTTTGGGTGCTACATCTCAGTCAATTTCTTCAATCTCCAAGAGTCCCTCATATGGCTATTGCTCTACATTTGTTGAGGTACCTCAAGGGCACACCTGATCTTGGCCTATTTTACTCTAACTCCTCCGATTTTACTATCTCAGCATATTCCGACAGTGATTGGGCAGCCTGCCCGGACACCATGCGATATGTTACTGGATTCTGTGTGTTTCTGGGTGATAGCTTAACTTCTTGGAAGTCTAATAAGTAGCCTGTCGACAAGGAGTTGTTCATATTGCCAAAAATCCATTTTCCATGAGCAGACAAAGCATATTGAGGTCGATTATCACTTTGTTCAAGGGAAGCTTTCTAATGGTTTCATTCAACTCTCTCATGTTTCCACTTCAAAGTAGTTTCCTGATGTTCTCACCAAACCTTTAACTGGGTTGCTTCATCACCAATTTGTTTGCAAGTTTCAGATGTTATCCCCCTCCAACTTGAAGGGGGTGTTGGACTCATGGACTATTTGGAATCTAGGCCCATAAGGAAACACTGAGCAACATAACCTTTATTTATCTTACTTGTAATTGGGCCTATTGTAATTATGCAACCGGCCCATTTATATATTTAATAGTTAGCCTATTCAAATTTTACATTGTATTAGTTATGTGTAATATGGGCATTATATAATATGAAGGGTCAACCCGGGTCACCCCATCGGAGTCGTTTTCCTCAAATCAGTTCTAGAAAGATCATCTCTCCTCTCTTCTCTCTCACATGAACCCTAATACATTTTCCCAAAACCCCAATCGATTCTTTCATATTTTCAGGTTGATCGTCGTGTCACTATTCTTCCGATGAAAATCAAAAATATTTTTGTATTCCATCATATCTACATCCTTTGAAAATTGATGTCTGAAATTCAGGGATTTTTAGTAAGAGAGTCATAATTTCTTTTCCTTAGCTTTTGAGAGATCGATGCTTGATATGCTAATCCATGCTACCTTGTTCTTGTTTGTTTTTGTTGCTTTATTTTTACTGTTCCTTGAGCTGAAGGTCTATCGGACAAAACCTCTCTGCTTTGACAAGGTAGGGGTAAGGTCTGTATATCCATTAATCTCCTTGGATCTCACTTGTGAGATTACACTGGGTTTGTTATTGTTGTTGTTGCTGCTGGAGCTTGATATGCTGATAGAAAATTAAGTCAATAACATAAAATGAAATCCTATTCTTGCTAATCTTTTTTACTAAATTATGATCTTGTCTAGAATTCCTCGCTTATTAAATTTATTCTTTTTCCCTATCGTCCTTAGTAACTTGCAGTTTATTAAGCTTCCACCCTCTAGGAATAGTGTATTTAACAATTTAAATTAATAACAACAGAAAAATAATTATGTGCTACGTACATTCTTGATATGCAAAAAATAAAAGAAAAAAAGAACTCGTTTGAACTATAAAATTATCATTAAAGTGTTTCTCTTCTGATAGAAACTTAAGGGTCACCAAACTCTATCAGTTTCCACGGAATATACACAATAAGAGATAAGTAAATGACACAGCAGAGTTTTACGTGAAAAACTCCCACCTCATGGGAATTAAACTCTTAATCCCTCACTCACTTGTAATAACTCTATTACAAAGCTCACAACTGGACTAACTCTAGCCAAGACACAAAACACAAGGTTTGTGGTTTTACAAATAATTTCCTACACAATGCTTCTAACTAAGCTAAGTAGGAATTACAAGTAAATCAGTTTAACAAAGGTGCAACATAACTAAATATATATAATAACACAATGCTGGAAACTGGTCCTTCGTTATGCTGTTCTTTGTTCTTGAAGCCTAGAAGTCACTTGCAAGATGGCAACATACTTGAGACGAAACTTGATTAATTCTCGGATGTGCAAGTATGTTTTCTCCATTGCTTCATGTTAATAATATCTAAGTGATATCATCTGGATGATGCAAGCAATATCCGGTATAAGGCATTCCTCATAAAGTGGCTGTTGCACTGTTCACAATGTTGCATGTGTGTAGAGGAACAGTTGCAGCAGCTTTACAGCTGTGAGCAGTTGACTGGTACAATCAGCAAAGGGAACAGATGTCCATCAGTTCCCTCTATCGTCTCTTTGATTCTGATTGTTGGAACATGTGCCTGACTTGAGACTTGTTGTTCTTGAGCATTTTGAGGATATGTCACAAGTTCCCCATCTAGTTCTTATCAATAAGTTTGTCTGATCATCAAAATATAACATGGCATATAACCTATCAATTTTTCCCTTTTTGATGATGACAAGCTTGTAATTGAAGTTCCCCTGAGAGCCAAAGTACCATACAATATTCCCCTTAACTTGTTCCCCATCAGTCAATTTTCACCTTTTGGCATCACAAAAAGATTAGTCACAAGTAATAAGCAAAAAGAAGTATAGCATGGTTAACTCATGCCACATGTGTGCACACAAACATGGCTAAGAACAGAGCATGAGTGTAAGGCATGCATAGTAAAAAGGATGGGATATTCATTAATTGTAAATAAAAGGGAGCCGAATTAGCAGTACCATTTGTTACACAACCATTCACAAAATAAAATAACTTAAAAAGTACTAGCCACCAAAACAACAAAATAAAAAGACCACGATATAGGACAGATAGCTTTGAACTTGACACTGGAAAGGAACATTATTTTTAGAAGCACTAGAAGGGGGAGACAGGGATGAAGAGGCAAGAGTTCGGAGGAGAATATCCATTCAAGCATTTACAAACACTTGCTCGTTAAGCAGCCGCTCCTTTAGGTCCTTGACCTGTTTCCTGAGATCTGCATTTTCCTTGGACAAACGGGCAGCCTTGCGCCTAGTGCACTGCTGGAACCAGGTGCCTCCTGAGCCTGATTAAGTTGCCTTTGAGGAATAGCATTTTGTGTCTCCAGCCTCCTTATCTCCTCAGTTGCAGCATTCTAAGCATCAATCAACTATGAGATAGTGGAATTACTGCCAACCCCTCCTTTCTTATCAATGCGCTCACACTCCTCTAAGGTGGTTTTGGATAAGGTTTGCTTGCGAGTTACCACTTTTGCTTTCCCCAAAGGGACTTTGAAGGAGTTAAACACGTTGGTGAGTAAGAATCCGTAAGGCAACCCATGATTACTATCCTTAAAATCTGCCACTTTCTTCATATGCTCTATAACGAGTCCAGGTAGATTGATAGTAGTGTAGGCATCCAGTGCTTTCATGAGGAATAGGTTTGCTCTTGACATAATGGAACACCTTTCAGACCTTGTTCACTATCTCAAACACCAATTGATACACTAGCAGGAGGGCCTTCTTGTGCACCCGTTCCCCTTGCTGTGCAACATCATCCTTCAGAATGACACTTCTGAAATTGGGAGAACATGTCCCTTCAATGGATGAAATCCCTTCAGTTGGCACCCCCAAAATGTTCCCCAATACAACCTCATCCATCACAAAGTGTACTCCATTCACCTTCAAACGGATATTATCATCTTTTATTGTGAACATGACTGCATAGAAGCTACGTACTTCTTCCTCATACACCTTGGGACTCTCATTGGTGAACAAGTGTGTCCACTTTTGAAACTCACAAATATCAAGCAGTTGACGCATCCCTGTCATGTACAAAATATTAGGTGAAAATGTTCTTCCCCACAGTACCCTCTAGTTTTTCAGGTTTGCTCTTCTTTCATCATTGCCCACACTTACATTGGCCTTCTTGGAGGAACCAGATTCCTCATTATCACCAACCTTCCTTTTCACAGATTTTCTCACACTTTTCTCTTTCTTTGCAGATTTCTCACACTTTCTCACCAGACTTTTCAGACACCTTCTCACTAGACTTGACACCTCATTTTCAACTTCCACAGCTTTCATAGATGGCTCGCTCCTGGGTTATGGAATCACAGGTTTCTTAGAGGACTTACGAATTAAGGAAGCATGTTCCTCACTAACCTCTTCATCGTCAACATCAACAACAAGTGCTGGAGGTACTTCTTCCTCATTCACTAGCTTTTCCCCTTTCACCAACCTCCTCATTTTCTTCTTTTCTTTGTTTTTCTTCAGAACAGTTTCAAGGGCTTCCTTCTTTTACAGCCTGGTAGTGGGTCTTTTAAGAGTAGGCAAATTAGGAACTGCCCTTCCACTTCTAGCAGCAATGAAGCTTGCTATAAGCATATCATCATAGGCTTCCTCACTATTTTCATTTTTCTCTTCAGATAAAGATCTCATCTCAAGAATGCCAAAGTTTAACGGCTCAACATATAAGTGAGGAAAAGGAGCAGGATCAGTACTGACCTGGGGCTCTTTTGAAGAGAAGGGAGTTTCATCCCAAGTAGGAGCAGAGGACTCCTCTTGGGCTGAGGGAACAAGTCCCTCATTTGTTTCCTTAATAGTACTATCAGGTCCTAGATTTTCAAGGGGCACCAGTTTCCTACCCTCTTCCTAATGACCATTACCTTCCCCTTGAGACCCAATGGTCTCATTAACATCCTCATAACCACCAACCAAACTTCCCTCAGCAGCGATGAACAATAGGAATATTACATGTGGGGTTGGCAACGTTCAAATCGAAGCTTGGAATGATCGTTGCTGAACCATCACTACTACGAACCACAGTATGTTGGGCTTTAGCACTCTCTTCAACTTTCAGACTGGAAACTTTCTGATCTTCGTCACCATCTACTATTTCTCCCTCTTTCATTTCTCCGATAAGGTACAAGGCATAGTCTTAGGAACAAACCTTTTAGAGTTTTGAGTCTTGCGACTCCGGTGAGAACCAAAACTCGATTGGGTTGGAGAGGAAGTAGTAGGTGGTTTGGGGGTCTGGTGTAGGGTTTTGAATGGGTGACAATAGGGGACTTAGACTCTCGTTCTTGTGCTTCGTGAGACGAAGACATAGTGGGGACTATACTCGAAACGTTTGGAGCTTCTAGATTTTCAAACATAGTGAGGATTTTTAGTGATAACAAAAGATGAGTGGTTAGTTTTGAGAGAAAAAGAGAATTTTTGTCTTTGATGTGAATAGTGATGAAAGAGACAACGTTTGGGTTTATTTAAAGAGGGTGAGGGATCGGTTACAAACGGGTATAGATTGCTGGGTAGACGGGTCGTTTAGTAATTGGTGTGACGTTTGGATTCTAAAGAGATGTAAAAAAGAAACTGAAATTTTAATGATGTGGCACTTTTACAACCGTTAACAAAAATATGCATGAGAGTACAAAGGAACTACTAACCTGAGTCAAAGGAACCATGTTCCCTAACTTAGTTTTATAAATGTGAGTCTCATCCTTTTACCAAGATGCAATTACACTAGATTGCTCTGTAATTGCCATGTGTATCTACCTGTAACGGTATAGAAATGAGTTAGAACTTGCCAGAAAACACTTTTTAGTTGTTTTACATGTTCAGACTTTCATATCCAATCATTGAGGGACCAAGTGCTTAGTTTGATTTTATCAACCCCACTGCCAATCGATTCTTCTCAAAGTACTCTCTGCTTAGTGCTTTAGTGAAGATATCTGCTACTTAGTCTTCTGTTTTACAGAACTTCACGCAAATAAGACATTTTCAACATTATCTCTGAGAAAATGATGTCGCACATCAATATGCTTTGTTCTCTTATGATGAACTAGGTTCGTTACCATGTTGAGAGCACCGGTGTTATCACACAATAATGGCACACAATTAGGGAATACACCAAAGTCCTCCAGTCACTGCTTGATCCACAACAATTGAGCACAGCAAGAGGCTATTGTCACATATTCGGCTTCTGCAGTTGAAAGAGCCACATATTTTTGCTTCCTTATACCATATGAAATCAGACACGATCCCAGAAAATGTGCCATGCCAGAAGTGCTTTTTCTATCCACCAGATAACCAGCATAATCAGCGTCAGCATACCCAATCAAGTATAAATTATCTCCTGAAGGGTAGCAGAGAACTAGGTCCTAAGTTCCTTTAAGATACCTTAGAATTCTCTTGGCAGCCTTTAGATGAGATTCCTTTGGACTAGATTGAAACCTAGCACATAATCCTACATTGAATATGATATTTGGTCTACTAGCTATGCGATACAAGAGTTAACCAATGATACTTCTGTACATGGTTTCATTCACAGGAGAATCAGGTTCATCTATGTCCAGACGAGTGGCAGTAGCAATAGGGGTATCAATGAGTTTTGAACTTTCCATCTCAAATCTCTTTAGGAACTCTTTAATGTACTTATGCTGACTTGTCATCGTGCCCTTAGGAGTTTGCTTAACTTGCAATCCCAGGAAAAACTTCAATTCCCTCATCATGCTCATTTCAAACTCACTTCCCATAATCTTTGCAAACTTTTCACACAAGAAATCATTTATTGCACCAAAGACGATGTCGTCGACATAGACTTGCAAAATGAGCAGGTTCCACCCTAGTTTCTTCAGAAATAGGGTGTTGTCGATTTTTCCTTTTGTGAAGCCATTTTCAAGGAGGAATTTGGACAACCTTTCATACTATGCATGAGGGTCCTGCTTCAGTCTATATAATGCCTTGTCAAGTTTGAATACATGCTCAGGATGCTCATGACATTCAAAACCAGGTGGTTGTTTGACGAAGACTTCTTCCTTTAGATATCCATTCAGAAATGCACTTCTGATATCCATTTAGAACAATTGGAATTCCATATGAGATGCAAAGGTAATGAGGATTCTGATGGCTTCTATTCGAGCAACTGGAGCAAATATTTTATCATGGTCGATCCCTTCTTCTTGATTGTAACCTTGAACTACTAACCTTGCCTTGTTCCTTGTTGTGTTCCCAAACTCATCAAGTTTGTTTCTGAACACCCACCTAGTTCCTATAACAGTTCTGTCTGGTGGTCGAGGAACCAGGTTCCATACGTTATTCCTGTCATATTGATGGAGTTCATCTTGTATAGCAGTAATCTAGTCAACATCTTTCAATACTTCCTGGATATGTTTGGGCTCAATTTGAGAGAGAAAGGCTAAAAAGGCATGTGAGATTCTTGACTTTGATCTAGTTTGAATCCCTTAGTCAAGAGGAGTGATCACATTTTTAAGATGGTGTGAATTTGTGTTTCCAGTTAGACACTTGAATCTCATTGCGAGAGGATCCAGGTTCCTCTGAATAAGATCCATTGTAGACATAAGTGCCACTTCTTATCTCAACATCAGGGGTTCCTTGCACAGCATCAACAACTTTGTTCGCTGCTTCAGTTATTGTGATTGAGGGACCGGGTTCCTCTACATCAGTTGGAGATACAACTGCGCCATCTTTATTTGATTTCTTGACCTGACTCATCATGTCAGCCTTTCCATTTTCCATATCAATGACTTCACCAGGAACCTTCGACTGCTCTCCGTCTTGACCAACCTTATCATGTGAATCTTTCCCAAATAGGTAGTGTAATTTATCAAAGAACACATATATGCTTTCCACAACACATTAAGTTCTTTTGTTATAGACCTTGTAAGCTTTGCTTTGTGATGAATAGCCAATAAATATTCCTTCATCACTTTTGGCATTAAATTTTCCCAGTTCTTCCTTCCCGTTATTGAGAACGAAATATTTGCAGCCAAATGTCCTCAGATATGTTAGCTTTGGTTTTCTCTCGTTCAGTAATTCATACGGGGTTTTGTTCAAGAGAGACCTGATCATGCACCTACTCACCAAGTAGCATGCAATGTTGATTGCCTCTTCCCAAAAACTTTTTGCAACACCACTGTCAATCAGTATTGTCCTTGCCATATCTTCAAGAATCCTATTTTTCCTCTCCATAACACCATTTTGTTGGGGTGCTCTTGAAGCTAAAAAATTATGACTTATACCATTTTCAGCATAGAATTCGACGAATTTTGCGTTGTCGAATGCTATGCCATGATCAGATCTTATACTCACAATATTATGGCTCATCTTCACTTGAATCTTCTTCACAAAAGTAGCAAACACTGGAAAGGTTTCATCATTGGAGCAATCATCCACTATGATGAAAATGTACTTCTTTTCTCCTCTACTTGGCACCCTCATAGGTCCACACAGATCCATATGGAGGAGATCAAGTGGGCTTGAGGTGCTTACTTCCTTTTTGGGCTTGAAGGAGAACCTGACTTGCTTTCCTTTCACATATGCATCACACACCTTGTGATCTTTGAAACTTGACATAGGCAGCCACGAACCATGTCCTTCTTGACCAATTTGCTCAACAACATAAAACTTGCATGTCCCAATCTTCTATGCCACAGTTCAACATCATCATCTACAACACTCAGACATGTGAGATCCCCATTGTGCAAGGACTCAAAATCAGCAACATAAATGCTTTTGTATCTTTTTGCCATCAGAACCACTTCACCAGTCACTAGATTTGTGACTGTGCAGATTTTTGACACAAATTCTACTTTGTTTCCGTTGTCGCAAATTTGAGAAACACTCAATAAGCTACATTTCAAGTCGTTCACATAATACATATTTTCAATTGAGTGAGTGAGTGTCTTACTAATTCTTCTAACTTCCAAAATGTATCCCTTTTTGCCATTGCCAAAGGACACACTCCTTCATGGCAGGGCTTTGAGTGAAAGGAAATCATTGATGTTTCCACTCAAGTGTGCTTGGAGCAACCACTATCCATATGCTATTTTTGGCTGCTTCCTTTCACTACTTCTTGCATAAGAGAATCAAGGATTAGACTTAGGAACCCAAACAAGTTTGTGTTCCTTGTGGTGAGGTAAAGGGCGAATTAAACTTCTTTTTGTCAAGGCAGGAAATACACGTTTTTAACGGAAGGACCAGGTTTCTTAGTAGCAGTTACCTTTTCAACAAAAACCTTATTTTTCTGTTAGGATTGAATCCTAGCCTTACAATTTTCTTTAAAGTGTCCAGTTTTGCCACAGTGAGTGCAAAACCAGCTATCAGGGACAGTAACATACTTGCTATGTAAAGCTTCGGGAGTCTTTTCCTTTTGGAACCCGACTCCCTGCTTGCTCTCACCCATTGTTTGTATACATGGCAGTAATTGTATTAGAGGACCAGGTCCACTTTAGAGATTTTTCTAGGTCATTTTTATCGCTCCCACCATTATTTGTTTCATTTTCAAGCTTAATGTGTGACTCACTTGCAACTTCCTTTCCCTTCTGGATAATCCCAGAACGGTTTTTCCTTTTTAATTCCTCTATTATTTCTTTTAGGTCCATAACAACTACCAACACGTCATCTCTCTCATTTTCTACATTTTTAATTTTTTTTGTAAGAACATCCTTTTCTTACTTTAGAACCTTGATGGTTTCTTTTAGGTCAACCACTACGACTACCAAATCATCTCTCTCAATTTCTATCTCTCCTAGTTCCACAGTTAATGCATTTTTATCATTTATAAGACTGTGATAAGCATCAATTAAAATATTTGCCAAAGATATAAGCTTCTTCTAAGAGTAAGACTTCAAATTTCTTTGAACGTCTAGAAAGTTTACCTCATTATCATCATCTTCATCATCATCAGAGTTTTCCATCAAGGCAAAGATGGAGTCATATTCAGCTACTTCACTTTCCACTGCCATCATGGAGCTATCACCTTGTCCATCATCTTCTCCATATTCACTGGAAGAGTCTCCCCATGCAGCAAGAGCTTGTTTCACAATATTGTCAGCGACATCTTTTCTCTTGAATCTTTTGTCAGGAACTGGGTTCCTCTTTGCTGCTTTGTCTTTGTTATGCTTGTACTGGTCTTGCTTGAGGAGAAGACAATCCTTGATGAAGTTTCCTGGATTCCCACATTTATGACATAAGTCATACCCTTTTGGCTTGCTGGAGCTACCCCTTTTTAGAATACCCCCATTCCTGCAAACCATTTTCTGAAATCGCTTTGTCAGGTAAGCCATATCAGCATCCTCATCACTTGAGTCATTGTTGTCAGCCTTAAGGACCAGGTTCTTCTCCTTCTTTGGTTCTCTTCTTTCATGGTTCTTCTTTTTCTTCATTTCATATGTCTTCAGATTTTCAATGAGTTCATTAATGGTCAGCTTTTCTAGATCTTTTGCCTCTATGATAGCATTGACTTTGCTTTCCCAGGAACTAGGTAGTACACTAAATATTTTCCTGGCAAGTTTGTTCCTTGGAATGATATCTCCTATAGAGTGAAGCTCATTGATGATGGAGATGAATCGAGTGTGCAAGTCCTGAATGGATTGACAAGCAGAGCTTCGACTGCTGTACTTGAATTGTTCCTTCATGTGTCGTTTGGAGAGCTTCCCAGATCTCCTTGGCTTATTGACAAAAAGAGATCATGTTGTTTTCGTCTGGTCCAATACCACAGACGAGGATCTTTTTTTCTCGGAAGTTCTTCTCTATAGCTTTTCGATCAACATCGCTTTATTCCTTCCGTGTTTTAGGAACTGTCACTGCTGGTTCGTCAATGTCTTCATAAGGATGAAGGGTCCATCACAGATAATATCCCAGAGCTCTGAGTCTTTAGCCATAATAAAATCATGCATCCTTGTCTTCCACCTTCCATGGTACTTTCCATTGAATTTTGGTGGTCTGTAGGTTGATTGACCTTCTTCAAAGTTTGGTGGAGCAGCCATTTGGATCATTCCTAGGTGTTAGCCTGATAGAAAGAACCTGCTCTGATACCAATTGATTCAACACCAAACTATATAGAGAATCTGGTTCTCTATCAATTCCCACAGAATACATACAATAAGAGATAAGTAAATGACACAATAGAGTTTTACGTAAAAAACTCCCAGCTCACGGGATTAAAAACCACGACCTACACTCGTAGGATTTCAACTTCACTAACCGAGCAACTTTTAGATTACAACCTATTGTAACCTAGGAATTAAACTCTTAATCACTCACTCACTTGTAATAATTCTATTACAAGATTCTTTGTAATAACTCTATTACAAAGCTCACAACTCGACTAATCCTAGCCAAGACAAAAAAACACAAGATTTGTGGTTTTAAAAATGGTTTCCTACACAATGCTTCTAACTAAGCTAAGTAAGAATTACAAGTAAATCACTCTAACAAAGGTTCAACATAACTAAGGACATATAATAACACAATGCTAGAAACTAGTCCTTCGTTATGTTGTTCTTTGTTCTTGAAACCTGAAAGTCACTTGCAAGATGGCAACACACTTGAGAGGAAACTTGATTAATTCTCAGATGTGCAAGTGTGTTAATAATATCCAAGTGATGTCACCTAGATGATGCAAGCAATATTCGGTACAAGGCATTCCCCATAAAGTGGTTGTTGCACTGTTCACACTGTTGCGTGTGTGTAGAGGAATAGTTGCAGCAGCTTTACAACTGTGAGCAGTTGA